AAAGGCATTGCTCTAATGCTCAATGTACCGGACCCAGGATAGAGAAGACTGGTTGGGAGCCATAGCTGGGGTCACTGATATACTCTAGGCCAAGACACTATACTCTTACAGTGCCTCTCTCCGCCCAGGTATACATATATGTTATTAACCAAGTGCGAGGGCCATACTGGGAGAATATCAGCCCAAGGTCTTGACAATACAGACCGAGCGCAGCGAGGTCTGTACGAAAAAGACCAAAGGCCGATATTCTTCCAGTATGGTCCCGAGCAAGCTTGGATAATAAGAGATTTATTATACGACTGAAGTTCAAAGGGACACAAGTGCGGTATCATATAGGACCATTTGGAACAGTGCCCAGTCCAATACTGAGAGAATATTGACCGGCAATAGAGCATTTTGATTGGTTGATTTTAGTTACTGGCCCTCTGACTGCCCAAGTTGTATAATAAATCTAAAATACGTACTAGAAAAGTGTTGATGAAAACCTTGGGTAGAGGAGGGAGGGAGGGAAGGGTAATGCTGTGATGGAAAGACCTCCCATCCAGGGGAGAGGCAATACTCCAAGTTGTTTCAAGCTACAAAAATCAGGGTAAGCTATCATGAAGTGCCCACCTTATTCTGTTTACAAAACTTTTGTCCTCCTGACTTTCAGGAGAAATACTGTTCATATTCAAAGATGCTGCAGCACATCTTGCCTGGGATCAAATGGCTAAATTAAAGATGCTGACCCACCCAGCTGTAAGTCCAACTCACCAACCAAATCCACAGAACATAGTCCTTCTTAGAGTTGTGGGCTTGGTGGCCAAGCCTTTGAACAGGAGTGAGGCTAAGGGTGACCTTGTTATGATACAGATGTTGCTGCTTTTCAAATGCAAATTTCTTTGTTATCATGCTAACTAGATACTGGTCTCTATTGCAATAATGTCACCCTTAGCCTCACTTCAAATCAAAGGCTTGGCAACTGTAAAATGGTCTATTTTCTTTTCAACAGAAAAAATAATAAAACAATGTTATTAATCCACTACCTTAAAGGCAAGATTGTATCTTTTTTACCAACCTGTTTTATTCTTTATTTCCAACACTGAGAATATCACAAACTTGGCAAATGCAAGAATCCCATTCTCATCAATGTTTCCTTCTTCACAGAATGCCTAACATAAAGTTATTGCAACAAATCATTCATTACACATAAATTGAAGACTGAGAAATCTGAAGCACAAGGTAATGCACATGCATATATACACTTGACCGAACAAATAAATAAAAAAATTGAATTATTATTTAATACAGGGTAAGGCCAAAAGTTATTTAAATCCATCCTGCTACCAGGCCCTAATCATTAGCTATTTGGCACAAGGGTTTCTTTGTCTATAGGAAACCAAAAGTACAAGATACGAGTATGTTTCAATACTGGAATGTGGAATGCTCCCAAACAATTTAGAGCTAATCAACTTGCATTGTTCAATAGGTTCACCATTGGTTTAGTTTGGTCTTATAAAGAACTGTAGGGCAGAGTTGCACGAGGAAACCTTTTGAGCAACAAGAGCCAGCAAGAGGTTTGCAAGGGGCCTAGCAATAGTGCCAGAACCATAGGCAACCTCAACTTGACTCATTTCAAATATTTTTGCAGATGGAGAAACACCCTGCAGCACTGATAATGAGTGGCTGGCCACTGGCTAGTTAAACTGTAGCGTTGACACAAACCTTGTTAAGCTTTTTCTTAACAACTGAAGCACCATCCAGAAGATCAATTTTTGAATCCTTGAGAAAAAAAAAATTGGAATAAAGAATGATCCACAAAACTACAAACTAACAAAGCTGAAGGTATGTAATTCATCAATGATCATTGCTGCCACTGCTGTTCTTTTGAAAATAATTACCATTTCATTTACATGATTTATCATAACAACCCATGCAGTCCTGTCCATGCTTTCAATAAAAATACAAGATTAAAATCCTCCTATGAAGATGGTGGCTTGAGCAGGGCTGGAAAAAACCATTTGACCTTTCTAGATGCCAGCAAAAAGAAAGGAGGGAGAGAAGAGCAATCGTCATATAATAAAATGTAGATTGACTGATTTAGGTCAGGCTGAACAAGAAAATATTTGGCTCTCTCTCGTGAAAATGAGACCTATCATTGTATTCTTCATGACCTTGTGACAAATACTTTCATGTCCAGCCATTCCTCTCTGTCAATAGTTACATATTGAAGTGTGGATGTCTTGTATTCTGCAGCATACACCCTTATTGATATCTAAGGGGCTATACCAGCTACTAAAACTACTCGACAGCTACTTACAAGCTTGGCTTTTATAGGTACAGTTGAGAATCTAGAACATTCCATAACATTATAATAGATTCTATTTATATATTAATTCAGGGATGACTCAGCATGACACAGCTACTTCTAGAACATTCTTGAAGGTTACACTTACAGATATCGATATTGTTTAATAGAAACTGACCTCATCTGATGCACTCATCTTGGTTCCAGTGAGACCAGGAACTAAAGAGAAAATTGAGTGAACATAAAATTAGCCAGCACAATCATCAGTAGAAGTAAGGGCACAAAAAACAGAGAAGGATGGTAAATGGAGTGTCAACTGCCACTATCTGATTGTTAATTCTCCCCTCTGGCTCCTACACATTTCCTTGTATATCAGTTACAAGAATTTGGTGTGCGATCAAGATAAAAACTTCTACCTGATGAGATTGAGTATTCTCATCACCTGTTTGCTGGAATACATACAGATATCTAAGGGAGAAGTTACACTTTAATCACCTCTGGGAGTTTAAGGGATAAGATGCAGGTCAGAGTAGGAATGGTGTACAACACCTTCGCAGCTAGATTGAATAAAAGCAGCCAAATCAGAGAGATGATTAAAGTGGGTAAGTTTCTAAAGAATCTGTGGAGCTGCATAGGTAGGGGATGTTACAAGATTCGCTCCGACGAAGGGCTAACGCTCGAAACGTCAGCTTTTGTAATCGTTACGGTGGCCAATTTACCATTTCAACTTTGTTAATATATCCAAATTATTTCGTTATTCCCACCGACGCAGCCCCAAACAGTTTCTTTCGAAACTATCAGCCTTTATTCAGATGTTACAAGATAATTTGTTTTTATCAATTGAGTTGATTAATAAATGTAATTTGGTGAGCATGAAGAGTTTCTAAAGCTGATGTTTCTGAGTGCTAGCCCGTTATCAAATTAGAGAACACTTGTATCATCAATCCTAGGCCCACTAGCTGTATGTTAACATTCTGGATACTTTCTTACCCATTGGGTTCATAAGATGAATTCTCTTGGCATAACCTAAAGAAGGAAGATACTGAAGAACAAATGAAACAATCATGTTAAGTAAAACAGTCACACTGAAGATAAAATTTTGAGAACATATCTTGTTCAGATGTCTGTGTTCAAAGAGAATCTACTACCTTTTCAGCAAAAGTGAAGATTTTCCGCTGATCAACACCTCCAAACTGTGCATCTACTTTCAGATACTCTTCATCAAGAGCCTGTTATACAAGAAAGAACAGATGTGTCAAAATGTGGTGTCTGGACAAATGTAATCTGCAAACATCTAATGACTGTTTAATATTCACTACCAGAATAAGCAATAAACGATTTAATGTTTGAACTCATAAAAAACATTCCATCATGTAGTGTGACCATGTATAGTTAAGGACTGAGGTTGGTTGGAAAACTACAACTTGAATGCAAGATCATCATCGGGGCAAACTGAATAGTTCATCGTCAGGGGAATGTAAATAATTTGGGTTTGTAGAGACTGATTGGTTAGTTTGCCATGATGTTATAAGCAACAAGGCACAAATACTTTTCAATTCTGGGATCCCCATTTACTAAACTACAATCTCAAGAGAGTGTAATGAGTACCACTTTGTCGCACAGGTGCCAGACTAAGTTCTTTAACTCTCAAGATCTGATTGCTAATTCTCTCCTCTAGCTACTACAAATTTCCTTGGAAATTAGTTGAGAGAATTTGGTGTTAGATCAAGATAACAAGTTCCACATGATAAATTTAAATTAATTTTATCCCCTGTTTGCTGGATAATTTATGGATATTATAATTATGGAGACGTTGCATGTTAATCACTTCTGGGAGTCAAAGGATTGTGGAATAACCAAATAAATACAAAAGATTGTAAAGATACCTGCAGGCCAGGATACAACAGACCACTCAAAAGAGGATGTTGGACTTGCTTAACAACTTCTGAACCAGCTTTCTTTGCATCGTGCTGACCGAAATAAATCAAAGTAAATCACTTAGATCCATAACATCTGATTTTGAGAGAATGCATTTTGTCCAATTGAAATTGAATAGTGTATGTAATAATGGCTTTTTTAATTGATGAGCACTTCATAAAGTGATTTTCTGAAAAGAAGAGTTTTTTTATAACAATTATCATAATTAGTATAATTTCCGAGCTGAGCAAAGAGTTTCCAGCAATCTGATTGGTTGAGTGGTTCCTTATATTTAGTTCTTATTAACTGAGCAGGAGGTCTGTATGGGAGAATCTTGACCGAGATCGCCGCAGTACAGACCGACCTAGCTCGGTTGATAAGATGTTTATTATATGGCTGTGTCTTATATGCCAATTTTTTTATATTCTTTGTACCTTTTTTCTCTAGACTGGTCTAGATGCTGGTCTAGATGGAAAAATCTAGACCGCTTTCAATATTGATTTCATTTAAGAATAAATATTAGTGAGAAAAACACACAACGTTTTGATGACTCCATGTCATCATTCTCAAGTGAGAAGAGAATAAAAACGAATAGTTGATTTATACCGTACGAAGGTGACAAACATAAAAAGTTAAAGATTTTTTAAAAATTTAAATAAATAATTGTGCGTGTTGAGTTCATAAATGTAAACTATTAAATAAATAGTTTCGCGCGTATGGAATCTGATTGTTTGTTCAAAGAGGGCTTCATCTTCTTTATGAAAAGCATTTCATGAACTAAACAGTCCAGTTTCCC